CCCCCCACCCCCCCAGGTGTGTTACAGGGAGGACCGCCACAGCCACGAACGAAGCTTCGCCGAAAAAACGCGGCCCAAACACAGCCCCGCACCGAAAAAGAACGCGAAAAAGACACCAAGAACACGTGCCGCTTGAACACACCAGGCGCCACGAAATCGCCTTCAGGTTCCTCACCCTTCCACCTCCACCCGGTCCACGGTGCACCGCGCACCGCATCGCAGGGACGCCGAAGTTCATCCGCTTCGGGGTGAACCTGCACTACTCGCGGCTCCAACTGGGCGTCACCGAGGAGTCGGTGAAGGAAGTGCTCTTGCAGCTGCCTGGCGGCAGAGGGAGGATGGTGGAGATGCGATCCTAGGAATTCCTGAAAGATCCGGATCCGAACATTCAAAGTTCCCGATCTGATCCGGAAGTCTCCGGCTGATTCCGGTCAGGATCATGTAGGGTCAATAAAAAATTCTTTCCGAACAAGGTTCCCCATCACCCAAGCAGCTGAGACATCGGTCTCCTGCCCCGTTGGGATCCGCGGGATCCGCACGGAACGGCTGCTTCGGAAGATCCTTCGCGAGACGCACATGGCGGGGGGAGGCTGATTTGCAGGGCGTTGTTTGAGTGCTTCCTCCAAGCACCTTACTTGAGAGTGTACTTCGGGGCCCCTGTGGGTATACTGGGTGATGTCATGTAAGTGATGAGGTTTTTCGGCTCGGATAAAATTGGTACAATGGGTCATGTATGTAATCCCAAAACAAGAACAGGATAAACACACCTCCTCCAGCCTCCTGCCTTCACTACTGAGACATTCTGCAGCCAAGAACATACCAGACAGGGTCCAACAGGTCCTGTGCAACAGGATCCACCGACCTCAGAGATGGATATACCATCTAATTGGATTCCCACCCAATGATACCATTCAGGATCCCACCAAACCCTTTCACTTGATGAGTTGTTTCATTCGGATTCCTTGTGCAGCTTGTGCACGTCTCGACGGCAGCCCACCTGCCTCAGGGTATCAGGGTTCGGACGAAATGGCACACAGGCCACGGCTGCATGTTGACCACATGATACCCAGCAAATTGGATGGGGAAGCTGCATGTTCACCACCTACCTTTTGTTTGAGATGCTTTGAGAAGAAACCATTGATGCGCAATGTGTGGGCCAGCGGGCTGCACACGTCAGAACATCTCACCATCTTATCTAGTTACTAGCAATGGGGGGGTTGGACCTGATCAAGAAACCCATGATCCCCCAATGAACTGCCATCAAGATCTACACTCCTTGGAAATACCATGGTTAAAGCGGATGGCATGGCCATTAGGACAATGGATGTCCATTGCCCTCATACCAAAACAGGTGGTGAACTCCATGTTATCAAGATTCTTCCAGGGAGTGTACATTGACCCCTCAAACTACCCCATGTATATAGGCAAATGATGTGTCCTACCTGCAGTGTTTGTGAGGGACCCCTCATTTACCAGGACCCAGCTCTTCCAGCTGTGCGTCAGCCACCCGGTGCCGAAGGTCGGGCGTTTCCGCCTCCCAAGCGGACGCCGCCGTCACCGGCGCCGCGGCCGACGCCGCCGGCGCGGCGGACGCGACGTCGGCCGCGACGTCGGCTGCGACGGCGGCGGACGTGCCGCAGCTGGCGCAGCCCGTGCGGGCGCAGATGTGCTCCTTGGTGGAGAAAGGGGTGGTGTGCTCCTTGATGGCCTCCAAAAAATGGATATACAAGTGATAGGTGAAAGAAAGAGAGAGAGAGAGATGTAGGAACATGAGGTGTTCATTTGGGTGACATCCCCTCCAAGCATGTCTCCACATCCCCCAAGAAAATCCCATGAGCCCTAAAAAAGAGCCAATCTTCCTTGAGTCAGAGAGGTTTCTTTTACCACTTCCACATTGTTTGAAGTATATAGACGATTTTTCAACCGTGGGTGATCCAAAAAGAATCCTTTACATCAGTGGTGTAACATTGAATGCAAGAAGGAGCATTGATTCATACTCTCCCCTTTGGAGTGTAACACCTCTTCAGGGCTGGAGGGTTGATGAATCAAGATCCTACAGGGATGGGTTTGGAGTCCCTCAGTCATGGGCATCCTGCTTGGGTCCTTGGCAGCTCCTTGGGAACATTGGGAACTGCTGGAATGTGGAACCGGACATTCGTCCGGAGCTCACCGTACGCCCTGTCGGACCGATTTCTGCGACATCTGGGTTCTGGACGCGCCGTCCGTGGGAGAGCCGCTGTTTTGTGGCGGGTGTGCGTGTCCGTGGCCAGGATGGTTGTTCTCTTGGGTGTAGCAAGCAACGTGAACTAAGCCCGAAAGAAGCATTGGATGGAAAATGCATCAGGAGTCAGGTCAGGGGTTCAAAAAACCACCCTTGGGTGGTGCCGGTCAAGACGATTATGTTAAGCCCATTGAAGCACAGGGCTGATCCGCTAGGGGTCAAAAGTTGTTTGGCCCACCCTAGCCTTCCAAGACCAGTTGCAAAATGGGCAAGACCTGGCTTTGCAGTGTAAAAACCCTTAGTAAAGCAATGGTTGCGACCCGGATTCCGGCTCTTTAAATCATGGTGCTTGGAATCCTTAGGGTCTCACCATGGCTTACCTTTACCCACGAGGGGGGCTGCATTTCGGAGGCCAACGCCGCGCGGTGCAACGGGCGCTGAAAGGCTCCCCGGGCCTGGATGGAGGGAGTTCGGGGGGAGTTCTCCGTGCTGTTATTCACTTCGAATAAGCATTGGTTGAAGGGAGAACCTGCAGGAAACCCAGGGTTTTCACCTCCCAAAACGATGGCTTTCCTGTAGATGTTCCCGTTTAACACCAATTCTGGGAAGACCTTTTGCTAAGCGGCCCGAAGCAATGGGAAGGCGCTGCCACGGAGATGGATTTCTTAAAATATACATGTTTATACATGCTTCTACTTTTCAAGCTTATTTTAGGAATGACTACCCCAGCTGACTCATATTGGAAGGGCTTGAACCACCCCCATCCAGGTGTTTTTCTTTCTCCCGTACCCCAAACAGCCCATGGTGTTCAACGCCCAAAAGTTTGGGGCGTCCATTTTTCCATATGATGCGCCATTCATGGTCCACATGGCATTGATGCAACTGCCCCCCGCACGTCGACGGGCGGGGGCGGAATCAACCGGTGGCGGCGCGGTTCATGCGTCGAGATGTCCACCGCATGGAGAATCGCCGTGCAGGCTCCAGTCTTGAGAATTCCGTTCTTTCGCGTAGTCTCAGCAGGATCCACCGCTGGAAGCCCCAAAACATAGGGGCCACAACGTTCCAGGTTTCATTTGGCCAGCACTGAAGGGCGGGCCCTCAGTCTCAGCTTGTCAAGGTGGTAGGACTCAAGGATTCAATCAGATTCAATCAGATGGTAGTAGGAACCCCCTAAACTTCCAAGACTACCCAGACGCTCCAAACAGCCCTTGGTCCCTCAAAACCATAGGGTTTTGAGGGTCCAGACCCCTCCATATGAGGGTCCGACCCCTGCATATGAGGTCCAGGAGGGTATTAAAAATTCATTGAACTGACGGATTTTTGTAGTGTAAAATCCTTAGTTGGTTCGGGAGTCAGCCTATTGATTCAATAGTGGTTGGAAGTCTAAGGGAATCCTTAAAAGGACAACGCTTGGAAGAGCCAATTAGGTGTCTCTCCGTTGGACTTTGTTTTTGATGCGCTGGCACGTGCAGTGGTGAACCACTTGACATGAGATTCGGCGAGAAACGCCGCAGCTTCGCGAGGCGAGGCGAGGCATTCAGGGTGAGTTGAGTTGAAGCCATGCCCCAAGAATCCTCAAAGGTCCTCGATAGCAGGGGTCTGGGCCCTCCCCTTCCCATTTGAAGGCCCGGATACTTAGGGTGTTTACTATCTTCTGGGCTCCCAAAGGCTGAGGGAATCTTATACCTACATGAGGCACTACTCAGAACGTAAATTGGAACATGTGGGGATTTTGTTGCCGGCATCCGGCTTGGCCAAAGCTTTGGTTTCATGTTTCATGCTCTTCGCGGAGATGCGGATGATCAGAGGATGGGTAAAACCAAGACCAGGCAGGGCTGCAACAAAGGCCACATACAGTATTTGGCACTGGCATGTTGCTTGCTTCCACGTGTGGGTTTGTAGCGTGCTCCAACTTGGCTCTCCCCAGGAGTCGCGACCGCCGGATCTCCCTATATTCCATTGCATAGTGGTTTGAGAGATGTTGAGAGTACACCCTGGAAGACTAACATGGACCGTGAAAACCACTGGTTGGTAGAAAACACTCTTCCAGGGGGCCATTGGACCCGGGTCTATGTTAGTTTTCGGGAGTGTAGATGGCACAATCTTTCAATTGTTGATGGTTTGCATGGACCTGGGGGGAGAAACCTCGTAGGGCCGTAGGGATGTCTGGAATAGATGCTTGAAAGGACGAACAAGAAGGCCCAGTGCCAAAGCACTGAACAGCAGTTCATCTGGGTTGAGTCCTTCGGTTTGCCACACCCTTTTCTTCAGTCCAATTGGGCCAATTGAATAGGGCACACCCAAGGGCCTCAAGTCCAGTCTGACCCAGTAAAACCAGGTCTTTTACCTCCTTAAGTTGTTTGTTTGTTTGTTTTTTTGTGTGTGTGTGTGTCTATTTTTTTTGGGACCAACTCCAGTACAATGAGCTCATTGACTTGTATAGGGACAATGGCATCCAAGCTTGGCGAACCGCACGCCGACGTCGGGCGCCGCCGGCGACCGGCAGGGAGCGCCCCGTGGACCCGTTCGGAGGCTGCCGGGGTGTGGTTCTGAGGTAGAGTCGTCGGTGGGGTCAGGCGTTCAGAAGCCGAAAAGGCGAACCAAAAGACCCACTGGGTGGAGTATGGTGGAGCCCTCCCGCAAAGGCATCCCCAAATCCAATGGTTTGGGCTCCCTAAACCTCAAACAGGGTGCCAGAGGATGCAACAGGATGCAACAGTCGATGTCTCCTTCAGGTGTTATTTCGAGGGCCGCATGGACCTTCCATCAAATCCACGGCAGCATTTCAGCTCCGCGCTTCACGCGTTGGTACCGCGCGCCGGCACCGAGTTCTCCAGCCATGGAGAGGTGACTGGCCCGGGCTCATCTAAGTCCTCAGCTTGGTCCTCCATGCCTTATGGTCGTCATCCCATCAGTCATTCCAAGTCTCTTCCATCCCTGAGTGACCCCAGAAAAGGCCCCAGCTTCACGACGGCCCCGCGCTTCGGGCGTGATCTGCCCACGGCTCATCGGTCGAGCCTGAGCCGGGCCAGTTCACAGACCAGGGAGCCAGGGTCGCCGGGGAAAAGCAAGACAGGAGCTGGGGGGTGGTGGTTGAATGTGGGTAGATTTAATACCAGGTCCGACCATCTGAGTGTCCGACCGACGGCCCTCCAGAATCTCAAAGCCCATGTCCAGGTCGGATGGTCCAGGTCTGCAAATGGACACCCAGATGGTCTGCAAAGTCCCAGATTCTGCCCTTCTTTCAACTGCTCTCTTTGCCAACGACTCCAGGAGGATATCGAGATCAAGCCCGACCGGTGGCGCCACAGCATGAGGGCAAGGCTCCGTGGAAGCAGGTGCGCGAGGAGCTCGTCCCCGCCGAGGTGCGCGAAGAAGTGAAGCGCCTTGCACGTCCGACTGGCGGCGGCGTGGTCATCGAGATGCAATGGGGAAGCAGTGCATATCTGCCCGCGCACAACGGAGGGCTCAAATACCGGGAGCCTCTTGGTTTTGGTTTTGGATGATGATTGGGATGTTTTTCTATGTTGTTCTCCAAACTTTCTGTGAACTCACCTGGCTTTTCGGAATATGTTTTAAATTGCACCTTTTCGTGGCTTCTGGACGGCAAATCCGCAAATCAAAGATATACAGAGTTTCATTTGGATTCTCAGCCATGGGGTACCTTTTTGATCCTTGCTTGATTTTTCCCCAACTTCCTGGACTTCGCCAACTATTAAGGTATGCCAGCCGCTTGCAAGAGCTCCTGTCCGGCCGGCTCTCACGAGGATCCGAGCTGCCAGTGCACATCGTGGACCAGCCGATGCGCTTCAAGAAGAAAGTGAGTCACCCGGAGAAAGGCTAGGTCCGTCCTCCAGCAGTGACAAAGGGGTGCCTAATGGATTCACCCTCTTGGAAGTCAGTCGGGGGTTCCTACCATCTGATACTGCGCCTCCTTCCGGACGTACCTGGACCATCCGGACGTCCTGTTTCATCCCGTTGTGGTAGTGGTCTTTCAGTGGTTCAGCCGCCCAGATGGTGATGAGGGCTTTGAGGCAGAGATAGCGAGTGCATCCCGCAGAGAACTCCCAAAAGCCAAGAGTTGTTTTTTAAACATACTAGGACCCACAGTCGGGGTGGTTAATGGACACCCCGAATCACCTCTTTTCGGGGCTATCAAGTTCGACACCCCTTAGGGTGTCCTGGTATACTTTCTTCCATTGTTTTGGTAGCAGGGAGGCCAACGGAAGACATGCTGAAAAAATCACTGAATGGCCAACTGAGGTGGGATCTATGATCAATTCTCTGACTGGGAAAGGGCCTGCAAGTTGGTGGCTTCCAACCGTTCCTTTGACTCGGCCACTGCCAGCCGGGTGGGGGCCTTCGAAGTGCATGTGGTTCAGAGCAACTGGCATGCCAACCTTTGCGCAGGGAAAGTGGAGGGCAACCAAGCGCACGGTGGCCCACCAGTCTGTGGGCCACAAGGCATTCTCTGCACGGCGTGCGCTCAACGTGCCGAGGGAGATGCTTCGGTTTCTTCCGGAGGAGGTGGTGGAGGCATGCGAGAGCAACACACCCTGTGTCATTCCAAGCTTTGGTCCCGACACTGGCCCGACCTCTGGTGCGTGCTCGCGAGCATCGGCACGCTGACCATTCGAGAGGCGCCGGGCGCCCAAAAGCCGCTGCAACTTTGGGAGGTGCCGGTGCCCTGGGTGTGGCTGAATTCAGGTGATTCTTTGACCCCTGGGCCCCTGGGTCTCCAACCACATCCTCAGGTTCGGTGGGACTGGGGTGGGTGCCAGAGGGGGTCGAATACCACCGAACCTGAGGATATGGTTGGAGCCCTACACGATTGTCGTCTCGGTTTTTGGGTGATGCCCCTTACCCGGACAATATGTTTTCATTCATTTTTCGCGGCTTCCGGCGAGCCCGCGCATCCAAGGTGCCCTTGCCAACACCAGCGGGTGAAGCACTCAAGTCGTGTGAGTTTGTTTTGCGGCAGAGCTTCCAGGCGAGTTCTGAGCAAGAAGAGCGACGTGATGAACGAGGAAAGGCAGAGCAGCAATGGAGTCAACTTCGAGAAGCCTGCAAGGCGGAAGAGAACCTCCATTTGACATCAGTTCTTTTGTTTCGCTTTTGGAAACCGACGCAAGAAAATCCACCGCGTTCACCATGTTCCACTTCAGAGTTAGGACCCGTAACCTGGGGTACCTATGGGAATATTCTATAGTAAGATTAGTAAGGTGTCATGTAGTGTCCACACTTTATAGATCTATTTTGGGTTTTTCAACCTCCATTGGTATATCCACAATACACCAGGCTGCAGGCCGGTGTTTTTTTTCCCACCCGCTGACTGGTGGGAGTGGTGGAACGTCCGGATGCACCTGAAGGCCGCCCAACGATTTTTGGCTTTTACATGTCCTTAACGGGTGCCCAATGGACAGGAGTCGGATGCGGAAGTGATGTGGATTCTGAGATATCTTTTTTTCGATCTCCCCCCGCAGATGGGCAAAACGTTGGATGGAGCTTCGTTTCTCGTCGTTTCCGCGTCGTTTCTGGAGCCGCTCATGCGGTTTTCCCTTTCCTTCGTTTCTGCGGGCCGTCGGCCTTCGGCCGCGGCTGAGGCAACAGCTTCGCCGCGAGTACGAGGCGGAGCTTGAGCAAGGCCAAAAGGAAGCAGAGAAGATCTATGTGAAGCTCTGCCTCTCGCTGGTGCGAAGGGTTTCGGATCATGGCTTGGACGTAAGCCGTCTTCAAAACGGTGAAGCTACGGCAGAAGAGGCTCATCGAACGCTCTTGGAAGCCATTGAGTTGAATGAGAGGCGGAAAGATCAAGTGTCAGGTTGGTATGAGGAGGTGCGCAGGGCAGGGAAAATCACTGGCGACAGTTGTGATGCAGTTGTGTTTGGGACCTGGTTTTTGAATTCCCCTTCCTGCCTATTCCTGCCGGCCGCCCCATGCACTCAACTTGCTTTGCTTCTCATATTTTCATCTCGCAACTTGGGCAGGTCAATAGCTGGAGAGGAAGATCCTTGCAAGAGAAGGAAATGTTTGATGCGATCCTGCAACAGCGACCAGATGTGGAACGCATGATTGGAACCTCCAACGAGGAAGCGGAAGTGGAAGCGTTGCAGGGTGAAATCCAACGCAAGCAAGAGGAGATGCGAGAGGCCACTCGAAGCCACGACAAAAAAGAGATATATCAAGGTAAAATCCACGAGCTGACGCACAAATTTGATCGGCAGTTGGAGAAGTACCTGGAATCACTTGGGCTCTGAGTTGGATGGTCGCTTGAGGGTCACTGCAACAATCTGAGGGGCGTTTCCTCGGATGTATCTTTTTTTTTCAGATGAGGCATGTCAGACAGAGGGCTGTGGTTGACTCAGGGAAAACTCAGTCTGCATGTAATCTTTCGTGTTTTGAATATGGCTCTGGGTCTGTCTCATCAGGTAAACATATTGTTTTTAGAGATGGAAAGGCCTGCAACCGACCACTGTTACTGGTATTGGATTATGCCCAAAATATGGCTCTGGGACTCTGGGAAACTTAGTCTTTTTGTTGCGGAACTGCTCAACTGTCGATTGCCGGAAGTGAACTTCGGGATTCTCAAGGAATCGCGGCGTGTCCGTTTAGTTTGCAGAGTGTCAAAGTCACACGACGATGGAACAGGCTTCGAAGAACCCAGTGCTTCGCCTCAGGCCTCCTGAAATCAGGAGAGGTTGACCTGTGCGATCCTGGACCCGTCACAAAAAAGTACCTCGCTTCACCCGCGCCGGCCGCTGGTTCCACCTTCAAGAGAGGTATCCAGTGACCGTACATAGGACCCGGAAAACCTGGAAAACCCATAGGATAGCCTATGCCACCCTCCTGGCCAGGCTGTTGGAAGACCCGACCACAGGTGCTGGGCTTCTGGTGGTCACGAAACACCTGTGAAGTCGGGTCCTAGGGTTCTTCCACCTCTGCTGGAACCCGCTGGTTCCGGTCGTGGTCTCACCGCGTCTCAGGGGAAAGGCGCGGTCCTTCACGCAGCGGCGACCCGACGGAGTCGTCGAAGTCTGACCCAAAAAAGGGTCCGGCTGGGTGTTTCGCGTATCGAGTCTTTATATACCAGCACCCGACTCTACAGGTCTCAGACCTGGTAGCTGGATACTTAAAAGTGTCAGGTGGTGACCTGTAGAGTCGGGTGCTGGTAGAGTTTCCATTCACAGAGACCTTCGGTTTCTCGCCGAAGAAGGTGTCGAAATGGGCCCGAATACACCGACCCTCGATCCTGGGCGCATTCCGCTCGGCAGGGACCGTGGCACTGGACGTGAAGTGGCACTGGCCCGTCACTCGGTCGCCGGTTGCGGCAAAGTGAGGAAGAATCAGAGCCTGCCCCAGAACGTCGGTTTTCACTCATTGGTGCTCCATCCTGGCAGTCCAATCCATCCACCACTTGACTCACTTCGGGGTACCTGGACCCGACTTCAAGTACTCTATCACTCATGGGACATGGCGTAAAAAGCAGCTACGACGTCGTACCCATTTTCTGAGGTACGAACAGGTCGGCTCAAGTAGGTAGCTCATTGGCCTCGTCCTTCTGGCTGGACCTCTCAGAGCCGTGCGTCGGGCGATCCGATCCTGTGTTCCGACCAGTTGACCCGGGTGACACGTACCGAGTCGAATGGGTACAGTCGTACTACCTACCTGTTTTTTTTTAAATGGGGTCATGTCCTATTTTCTAAGGTACTGGGTCAGTCGGGTCCATAGATACCCTACACCACCGACACCAAGAGCCAAGAGGTGTCAGTGAGACACATGCATGGCCTCTTAGACTCTTAGACACCATAGAGGTCAAGGAGTGTTCACCAACAGGTCACCCATTGAGACCTGTTGGGGTCCAAGAACCCTCTTTTCACGAGACCGGATGCTGGCAGGAAACTGGTATACCCTGTACCTGGACCGACACCAAGAGGTGTCTATAAATAGCCTCTGAGAGGTTTTCTGAGGTGTCCAAAAACCACCGGACTTGGAAGGTCCTGGTATATACCCTTATATATACAGCCAACAATAACCGTATGTTTTAAAGATTTTGTGGAGCTCATGGAGCAGGTCCATGAACATTCAAAGGTTCCTACAGGTGACGACTTCCCGTCAAGGCCAGGCACAACTACTCGATGTTTTCAACATTTTGCAATGCTTGCCAAGCAGTCACGGAATCACGGGCTCAGCCTGAAGGTTCACAATGCCATCGTATAGCCAGTGTTATTGAAGATTTCCTCCTCTGATTTCAGAAGGGCTGTTCCATTCATCCATGGATCATCTACTTTCGACTCACCAAGCTACAGTGGTGGCAGAGTCAACAAAACCCCCTTGAGAACCCCTACAATTTGTGTGGACGCAGGCTCGGGTGGTCTATAAGAACACCCCTGACGAAAGATGTTCCCCCACAGTTTTGGGGGGGTGCTGGACCTCGAGTGGTGTAGGGTGTGGTGCCTTTATCCATCCACCCAGACGCTCCAAACAGCTCTTGGTCCCTCAAAACTCTAGGGAGTTGAGGGTCCGGACCCCTACTTAGGAGGGTCCATGAGCGTCTGGGCACGCCATATCACGCCATTCCTCCACCGGAGCATCTCTGAGGACCGGGCCCCACAAGCCAGGAGAGTCTCCGGATCCTGCGGCGGGAGTGATGTCGCAGCACGTGTTTCCTTTTTCGTGTGCGAGAAGATGGGCCAGAGAATCTGATTTTGTGATGGTGACTGTAAGGTATATGTTGATACTCAACCTGAATCATGGAAGACCTATCATGCAGTGTTCCTCAAGTTTCCCTTCTCATTTGAGCTTCGACTCTGATTCCTCCTCGCCGGATCTGTCCGTGCCAGGCCCGTCCGCGCGTCCGCGAGCTGCCGAGAAATGACCGAGCCCAGCGGTGTGCGGGCGGTTTGGGCAAACATCCAACAGAGGTGGGTCAGGACCCGACTGTTCAACTATCCCAGGAACTAGACTATCCCAGGTGTTCCGGGTCCTATTTAAGGTCACTTAACCTCTCTTGGATGGCATGACTGGCGGAGTCAGATGGGAGTTCCGATGTGCAGGGCTTGCTGGTGTGGGCTGTCGTGCGGTGCGTGCGGTGCATCGCCCAAACAGCGGACCATGAAAAAGGAGTCTGGTGGTGGAATCCATCCAAGTGGCCCAAGAACCTTTCAAAAAGGGTGGGTTGGTTCATTGTTAAGTGGTTTTTTGGTTGCATTTTGGTGGCATTTCTGTCAAGTGGTTTCAATGAAGCAACCCTCACCTGCCCGGATTTCCAGCCAACGGGACCGCACCTCGTGTTTGCTCGCACTGGTCGGTCCTGGTGGCGGTCTCTGCAGTCTGCAGTGGTGGCGCTGCTCACAGGCATCATCTCCAGCCGTCGGCCCCACTGGGCGCGCCTCGAGGCCGTCGCGCGCCTGCGCAGGCCCGCGCGATCCGCGCGAGTGGGGCGCGTTGGTTTGAGCGGATTGGAGTGTAAATAGGTGCAGCAGTTGTGTCCTGGTAGCCTGCCTGAAGTGAAACCTGAGTTGTGGTCCAGTGTTTGGGGTCAAGAGCTGAGATTTTTCTGTTGTTATGAGATGAAGGGTAGATCTTCCACTGTGGTAGATCTGGTAGATGACACTGCACAGGCTTGCTTTGGAAGTGTCAATTCCCGTCAGGCCATGCACGACCCACTGCGGAAAGCGGAGTTCACCACCTGTTGGGTCTTCTTTTTTTCCAACGCCCCAAGTCCTGATCCCCTCTCCCCGTTCAGATTGGCCTCGCCGCCGGCACCGGTGCTGGAAGCGGAGAACGCCCTCCATGCGGTGCTGCTGTCGACCGACAGCGGAGGCCGCACGGTCTCGGGACTCACCGTGGACGCACGGTGGATGGCATGGTCCCGAAGGGACCAACAGAGGTTAAGTGACCATACATAGGACCCTACAGAGGTCACACCTTATAGGACCTTATAGGTTGTGACCTTATAGGACCTTATAGGATAGTCTAGTTCGGGTTCTGACCCACCTCTGTTGGGAAAGACGAACGCCTTCCCATCTTCCCTTCGTGACCGGTCACTGGATCTTCCCAGTGAACGCTTCGGTCACTCCGAAGTTCGGTCTGAAAAAGAAGGACGAGGAACGGGGGGGGATGGTCATCTCCAACCATTTTGGATGTGTTTGTCTGGAGCGGTACCACTCAGGTCCACTCTTCAGGTCCGAAACACTCCGCGGAACTGCATCGGGCCATCGGCCCAGCCGTCGGAATGGCCCAAAGCTTCGTATTTTCCCAAGCCCGGCAGCTTTTTGGCCTGCCAAATGATTGACCGAATGACCCTGCCACAGTTGGGTGTCACATGGTGTCACTCCGAGTCGCTGCCTTGCTGTTTTGCTGACTGTATGCTTGCCTATCGAAGGCAGGGCCTGGAAAAGCAGCGTGCTGTAAGTCTAGGACCTATATCATGGGGAAATCCCGCCCTTCCGCAGTGTTGGTCTTCGTTTTGTGGCATCCTTTTTGGCTCTAAACAAGATCGAGCTATTTATAAGGGACCCCGCGTTTGAGTTTGGAAAGGCAAAAAGGGGGCGGGTCTCCTCCACAAACCAAAAACCATCGAAAAGAAGCGTCTTTCCACGGATCCCCCGATCGGACCGATGGTGCTGGTCATGGAGAAGTTGCCGTCAAGTCTCAGTGCCAAGCCACCCCACTACCCCCCGGGTGGCAGAGGCCACCCTGTCCACTCACATCCTCCTCCACACCACCGCGGTCCGCGCTCCGCGGTCCAGGCGAGTTGCAGGGAGCCATCGAGGATGCGCTCCGCTGTTGTTGGGAAGATTCGGGCGACAGCAAGGCGCCGGGATCCACGGGCCCGGCGGGATCCACCGAGGGTTGGGCTGAGGAGGTTGGGTTGCCCGGTGGAGGTTGGTTGGGCCACGCTTGAAGATCCACCTGGTATAGTGGTTGATTTTGGGCTGAGTCTTAATGTCTTGTGGTTCTGATGTCTGGAGCTGCACACTCTTGGGCAGTTGCTTTTGGATTGGTTTGAGGTTTTGTTTATGCTTGCCCCAAACCCCTCCGTATGAGGGTCCATGAGCGTTTGGGAAAGAAACGAAAACACAGAAAAAGGTGCCCCTACTGTTCGGAAGGCACGCGTGCAGAAAGTCAAAGAGCACAGGCGCCGAGAGGTTGTGCCCAGCACAGGTGAACGCCGAGATGTCCTTGGGCGTTCGCCTCATGGATGAGGGCGAGCTCGAGCAAGCGGTCGACGTGTTTACTCGAGCGACTTGGGAGCTTGAGTGGGGGAAGCGACGTGGAGCGTGGCGGGTGGAGGTTTCTGTGCGGCCATGGGACCCTAAGGGGCAGAGTCAGATTGCATAGGCATAGGTGGCTGGGATTGTGAGTTTCAAGGGGGTCCA